AGAGGTGTCCTTTTTGCTTTTCTTTTTCCTTTTTTTTTTTATCGGAAAATTCTCCATGATTAAATTGGGATAAATATCCAAACTTCTCACCTTTTCCGGTGAACTTTCTTTTTCAAAAATTCCCCACTTATGAAAAATAATAATAGAGCCTACCTTACGGACTCAGTTGATCCTAAATTCCTAATCCCTCCCTTATCATACGACTGAGACTTTTGTGTCAAATGGAAAAGTCCAAAGTTGCCCCAATAATTTACCAGCTGTCAGCTAGAGATAGACATAATTCTTCAAATATTTTAAATTTTATAATAAATAATTAATGGAAAAGCTTTTCAAATATGATAGTGTAAAATAAATTTAGTTTCCAAACAAAAGGTTCTATTTTTTCCTCGATAAAGTTAAACAAAACTTTTCAAATATAATTAACATTATGTTATAGTGCTAAGCATGTATACAAGTATTAACCAGGTATTCAGATTCAGGTTTTTTGGCTGTCTATGACTCAAGCCAAGTACCCACTTTACATATTACAGGTTATTGACAAAATGTATTAAATATGACTTTGATATTGTTTATCCAAAAATATATTAAAATTATTATTTTTGGAACTTGAACTTATGATTCTAAGTAAAAACTAAGCATGCCTACATTTAAAACAAATCGAATAAGTTGATATCGAATTGGATTGGGTCGATCCATGCATATTCAATCCAGTTATAAATTGATCAAATTCAGATCACTCTTAGGCAGATCACATTTAAATTCGGATAAATAGATATCATTTGTAGCCTTAGTTTATTTAAATGAATGCATTTTGTAAGTCTGTGTTTGTTTTGAAGGAAAAAGATAGGAAAACCTATACAAAGACCTTCAAACCAACGCAGCCCAAGTGAATTTTATGTTTCACATGTGTAATGGTTTTGACTAAGGTTACCTTACTCTTTAAGAGTGTTATTATTGTTGTTAAAATTAATTTTTCATGTAGAGGAAGCTCTGATAAATTTGAGAATGCATTCTATAAGGCTATGTTGGTTTGAAGGAAAACGTAGGGAAAGGTAGGGAGACCTATACAAGGTTTGTAAAAGTTTCCCTGCTTTTCCCTTCCTTTCCCTACTTTATCCTTCAAACCAAATACAGCCTAAGTGAATTGTATATTTTCCGTGAAATTGGTTTGAGATTTATTTAACTGTGAAAAAATGCAATTCCTAAGGCAAAAGTTGAGTTGCTTGGTTGAATAGAAAGGACGTTGCCACCGGTAATCCTTTACACCTTTTCAGTGGCTTTGACTAATCTTTCAGAAAGTGATTATATTCCACCTTATATATAGCTCAATGAAAATTAAAGTTATAAATCACAAAAAAAAAAAAAAAATCCTAGAACCAGTCACACCAGGTTGACCAACATAATTCGTAAAAGCCTATCCAAAATTGTGGGAAAAAAACAAATTAAATTAAATTAAATTGTCACTCAAGGCAAACGATTTATAAGAAAAACCATTATCCAATTAATCAGATTCCTGTAAAATCAAATCTTCTCAAGTTTTGGTTAGCAGAGGGGCAGTATTGTATTGGATGGATTCTTAATTTGGAGGTCTTGACTGCAATTAAAGGAGGCCTAAAGAGTTGCTGAATATTTCATATGGATATTGCATGGGTTAGAGGTTAGATGGGCATGTTGTAAACTTAATTTTTGAATTGGGTGTGATGGGCACTGAGTTTTCACAAGTCACACCTATCTTCGGTTCAAATGCAGGTGTGAATGTGGAATCCCATAAGCTTATCAATTAAGCTATTAAGGCGGTGCCCTTTATAGGCGGCTTGTAATGAAATCGAATTTCCTCGCTAAAGATCGATCTAACTTATAAAATTTCTTGGAGCTTTGCAAGTTTAATTCTTTTCTGATCCTAGTTAATTAACAACTCCAATTGCCAGAAAAGAAATATATATATATATATATCAGGAGGGAGGGAGAGAGACAAAGAGTCACATAAAGAACTAAAGAAGATCAAAATAAATGAGAAAAAACAAGATCGTTACACAAATATATCTTACAATTTACATGAAGAAATAAACAAACGCAGTGTATTAGATTCCCCAGACACCATTCGTCTCAAGAGTCTCAACTTCAACAATGCCCTTTATAGGCTCTAAATCGCCATAAAACCTAACAATACACATCCAACCAAGACAGGCATTCTTACACCAGACTTGTAGCCATTATCTGAAAAATATGGGTCGACTACGGGATACAGATTTGCAGACTGACCCGTTACATAAATGAATGGAGTTGGGGGTGGCGGAGAGCAGTAGTTTGTTGGTGGAGGCGAGGATGGTGGAGGGCAGTTTTGCGAGGAAGGGTTGTCCGGCGGCGGTGGTGGCGGTGGCGAGGGAGGTGGAGGAGGAGGATGCTGATTACATGAAACACATGAACATGTAGAGCACATAACAGAGCTGTCACCTAGCTTTTCTGAAACTGGGCCATTGATTGGAGTTGCCTCCACAACCACAATATAAATCATCAGAACCATAGCCAGTAGAAACCAATGACCCGATCGATTGGGTGAGTTAAACAGCATTCTTGTATTAGAAATGGCCTAGTTCTTGATCTTGTTGTTTGATGATGCAGAAATTAATGTTGGTTTGGACGTTGGAGAGAGAATTAAAGAAAGAGAAGGGTGGATTCCGAGAGGCTTAGAGAGTTGTGTATACGTCAGATTTGGTGCATTTGCAGTTTATAAACGTTGGCTGATCCGCCGGTGGTTAGAAAATTTGGTTTCTAAGGCAAGAACCATAGTAAGACCTGATTTCATGGAATTAAATTATTTTTCTCTATGGTTGTATGATGCTCTTCCATCCATGAGTTCCGCCATCTGTCGATCCATGTCCAACTGTCGGGGCTTACTTGCTTTTCTTTCCCAACAATACATGTCTATTCCTCCAAATACTTACCCAGTTTTATATTCAATAATTGAGTATTTGCATGTGCAAAAGAGAGAGAGAATATAACGGAGAAACTATTAACTAAGACCATGTTTGGTTCGTTGTTATGGGCTTGTTCCTTCCATTCTTTCTCATTCTAACTAATAATGGGTAAGAATTGGTTATATAATAACCTGTAACATGAAAAATAATTGTCCCATGTACCTCATTTTCATTCTTCAAATAATTGTGTGACCGCCGGCATAGATTTTTACCGGTGGATGGGTAAGACGTCATGAAAACTTATGCCGATAAAACTGTGCTGGCAGTCATATAGCACGATTAATTATATGATGTTTTACTATTTAATGACTTTCTTTGTAAATTACACTTGTTGAGAATGCCATGTCAGAAAAAATGGTGTTTGAGAAAACGGCCTTTTATTTGGCATCGTTTTTTTAAAAAAAAAATGTTGCTCCAAACCATGCTTTGAAAATTAGGAATAACCCGTTGCTACCAATGGTGCAATGATGTGGCATCAATGAGGCATCATCTTGGGTGTTGGATAATGTAAATCAATGCTCAAAATGGTTATACAGCAGTTGTACCAAACAAAACCAATGCTGTTTTCCTAGAAAACAGCCTATGTGGCAGCATCCATGCCAAATAAAAAAAGGAGCAATTTTCTGAGAAAAAAAAAACATTCTTTTGAAGCAACGACATCGATGCCAAACACCTACAGAAAAATTGGATTCGAATTCGGATATCTTATTCATACCGAATAGCTGATTGGATTCGAATTCGGATATAACCTGATTCGATTCGATAAGTATCCAAATTCGACCGATTATTTAATTCTTATATATAATATATAAAATTTTTAAAGGTTTTATATAATTTATATATAATAATTAAATTATATAATTTTTTTTATATATTTGTATACTTTATATAAATAAAATATTTATTAATTTTTAATATCGAATATTGCATGATGAGATTCGAATTCGATCCGTTTACGCCCCTAAAATGGACTAATTTTTGTAACACACATTTCTATGGGCGGGTTTGACATGATGCTGGAAGTTTCAATTGGGTCAATTAGCTGGCCAATCTGGATTCATCTGGACACTGGCCCCTTTTCTTGCTCATTTGTTTAACTTTAACCCCAATCAAAGCTCTAGACTTTTATTTTCGGGACTCTCTCTCTCTCTCTCAAATGTTTTGGACATATATATAAATAGGTATAGATTGCGTGTTGTCAATTTTTGCTGCGTGAAGAGTGGGATGCTGCTAATCCGAAGCACTTCACTGATCAAGGAAGGGAGAAACAAACTAAATATTAATATGTCTAATGTCTTCACTCTCCCACTATTTGACCGGAACCCAGATCTCCTGTAATCCTATAACTAATGATTTTTCTGTAGATTTAATAACTAATGATTTTACGGACCATCGATCAGTGTAGGCCCACAGAAAGGGTGATTGAACAAAATTTTACGGACTGGAACTACAACATGGGCCTTAATGGAACTAGCCAACCAGGCTCGCTTTTGACTGGACCGGAGGATGGGCCTAGCTAGACTGCCTGTTGCCACCAGAACTTGGAAAGAATTTAGCCATATTCAATAAGACTGGTTAATTATGGTTAATTGTTGAGATGTTGGATTTTTGGGAGAGCCATCAGCCATGTTTTCTAAGCCAATCCACCACCAAGGCGCGGCAAAGTCAAACACCTAAAAATATCGTAATTACTGCCCAGCTCTACTGTGCCTTAAATTTGTACTGGTTTCTCGCAATGGCAAGATGATAGAATTGATAATCACCAAGGATCTCTAAACTTGGGCCCCCCCAGGGCCCAGTCCAATTGCCACCGAGGGAACTCAAGAGTTAAGACAGGAAGGAAACTTACGTGTTTATATACTTTTCTGTCCCACAGACACGTTTATAACCTACACTGTCTTACGTGGACATGTGGCAAGTGCCATCTCTCCTATGAAAACCGACCTTTGAAATTGAAGGCGAAATGCATCATGCATGGCTGGCTATATAAGAGAAAGACCCCCCTAAAACTTGTTCGTCAATCAAGTCTCTTTGCCCTGTCAATCTCTTAACCGTCGGCACAAGCACCAGCTATTGTTCATCAGGACCATCACCTAGGGCCCAAAGCTAATTAATAGCAGTCATGACGACTGGGGTTGGAGTTCCAATATGCGTTCAGTGTGGCACCCGAAGCAACCCTTGCCGGTGCAAGGTGGTAGGACCGACGATGGGATTCTTGGCGTTTGCGGTTGCCGCGGCCGTGGAATGGCCGGTGGGAGCAGTGGTGTATATCTTCCGACACATGAAAGGTCGCCGTATCATGGCTCATCCTGCCACCGTTGTTTATCCATCGGTTTGCAGAGCATTTCCCATTTGAAAAAGTGGGGCGAAAGTAATTAGACTCTCTCTCACAGCCCCTTGTAGCTTATATATGTATGTATGTATGTATAGACGATGTTCATGTATATGAGACTCAGATCAGTAGCAGTGTTTGGTTTGTAGTTTGAATCAAAAGACGTACGAGAAATGAAATGAAAATCCCTTAAGAGTTTCGCTGCAAGGAACAGTTGCATATAAAACTCACCACCATGCAGTTGATCTTCCTCATTAATGACTGATCAGAAGGTCGTTTAATTATAAGCATTCCAGTGGCGCAATCGCTTCCATGCAATGCAATGATGTTTCTTGCAGTGACTGACTAAACTGATGAAGCAGCCATTTTTTTCCAGGAAGGTGGGCACGCTTGAATGCCCAGTAAGCGTACTTAGCCCAGAAAGTCAGAACCCATACCTAAATAGGCCTCCGCACACTTGCATAGATTCGTTGATCTCTCTCTCTCGAAAAACAGATAGTATGTGGGATTTCGACGATGAGCACGTAGAGAAGGTGGAGTATTATATCAAACAACCAGCATCAGAGGGATCAGTCAATTGAGAGACTGAACAAGCGCTTGATCTACAAAATCCGGTCCAAAAGAAATTTGTTTAATAATAGTCGGTTATAGTATGCTGATACGTTCTAATTTCTACACTTGGCAGTGTCAAATACTAGAAGAAAGCCTTTCTGTGAAGCTTTTGATTTGATCACGTTCCACGTATCAAGAACGGCAAGCATATGGCAATTCACTAACCAATTTATTTGGGCCTGGCTACGAAAACGATAAACAGAACCAGCATCGTGACCCAATTCAATTCTATTTGGGCCAACGACAATTTAAAGAAATTGGCCCATAACCCCTCCAGCCCTTGAACTAAAATTCGATCCTAAATCTCTAGTTTCTCGACTGTGATCAGCAATACACCTTACCGATTAAGCAAATTGGAACCTTTGGGTTGAGTCTAAGATTAACGCCCGTTCACTTTTTGTGAAGTAAGTTACTTTGGTAAAATCCACGTTTTTCTTTTTTATTTTTCAGGTAAATAATATAATTTTAGATGGCGTTTAATACTGAAATTCCATATCTAAAAAGTTAAAAAAATATATTTTTGAAAAGTTAAAAAAGACATTTTTGAAATCTGAAAAAAAAAATATTTATTGATTTTATTATTTTACCCTTAAAATATATTATTTGAAAGTGTTGAGTTCAATTTGCATCATCTCATAAAATATATTATAAGTTGTAGCAACGGTAGCGGGAAGGTACGGGAGAGAGAGAATGTGGTGGCACGAAGACAAGGGAGAGAGAGCGAGAGAAATAGAGAACCATTGCTAGAACCATTGCTACAAGTTACAGTGGTGATGGCGAGAAGATAAGGGAGAGGGAGGGAGAGAGAGAGAACCATTGTTGTAACTTGTAGTAACAGTAGCGGGAAGATAGGGGGAGAGAGAGAACTGCCGTTGCAAGTTACAATGGCAATGGCGGGAAGATAGGGGAGAGAGAGAGAACTGCCATTACTTGTTTAAGTCGCAAAGAGGGTTCAAAGAGAGCTCAACGGTGGTGGAACTTGCTTAGGTCGCAGAGATGGTTCGAATGACCTAATTTTCGAGTTATATAAGGAACAAACTATGTCATTAAATTTTTTTTGAGGATACTAATGTCTTTTACACACCTCTGTGTTACATCTGAGCGCATTAAGGACCTGCCCCACTTCTTACAAATTAAAATCTGAAATTACATTTCAGATCAATAATAAGAGGGCATACCAAACAAAGGTGGCATCTGAAAAGTAATGTTTTCAAATTTAGACGTCTAAAAAGTACGATTAAATAGCACCTTAATCAAAAAAATTTCATTATTAAAAGGGTTATTTTTGTCTTATCCAATTGTTGGCAGCTATCCTAATATGAGAAAAGTTAACTTTTCCATATAGGAGATGGGTATCACTCATAGGTTTCTTGGTTGATCAATCTCCTTCTTAAAATCCCAAAAATGAATACCCCTAGTAAATAGATATCATTAGTTTTTCTGTCAAATTCACAATCCCATTGACCAATTTAATAATCTTAATTGAGTTGAAGAATAATTGGGTGGAGTAGATTTCAAGGTTCAAACATGAAAGGATAGTGGCACTTGGCAGTTGCATGGTTATACTATGCTGTTATTTAAAAACTCAACTTTTCGTTTTACAGATTCATTTCGGCACTCTTTTAATTACATAATTAATTCATTATTAGTCAACAAAATAAGGATTAGTGGGTGGTGGGTGGTGGGTGGTGACTCGATAATTAAAATAAATTATGAACGACCACCCGTACTAAGAGTGTAATGGCATCTTCCACGGTCTACGTTAGTTTTCCATTGCTGCTAGCACTATTATTTTCCTCGACGGCTCAACCTCTTCCATTCTCCCCAAATCCCCCAAAACCAGGTCTTAATGATTCAAATCCCTAGAAACATAAAATGGGAAATCTTCATTTAATTCCAATATCTAACTTTGGATAGGTCAATAGAAAAAGCCCCGGTAGATTGTGAATTGTTACAATGAATATATTGTTATTAAAATATTTGACGAAGGATTTATAGTCTGTTTAAGAAGAGAGGACACAGCTAGTCTGCTATACCGACCACCAAAACGTATTTAAAAGATGTAAAATATATTTTAATAATTTAAAAGAAAATAAAGGGTAAAAGGGTTCTCATGTATATTTAAGGCCCTATCCCTCATTTGAGGGAACGGCCATTCCCTATCCCTCGGGGAATAAAGGTTTGGATCGAAATTCTATTTCCATTCCTGTTGAGAGAATGGCCAGGGAACCCCTCAGGAATAAAAGTTTGGAATTAGAATTCTATTTCCATTCCTGCTAGATTGATATTGTCTTCTATTCCTGTTGATTTCAATTCTCATTCCTATTTCTGTTTGAACGAAACAAACTATGCGAATATACTATTCTAATTTCGATTCCAGAGAATTTTGATTCCGATTCCAATTACAAACCAAACGGAGAAAAATTGAATATATGTTTAAATCTTTTACCCTCTTTTCTTAAATCTTAAATCTATGTATTTCTCTCAAGTTTCTTTCAACAAAATTTGTCTTAAAAACAACTTGATGAGGTTGATAATTTTTGCCGACTTATTCAAAATAAATAATCATATATGTGAAAATATAAAAAAAAAGTGTGGCCTCACAATGGGAACAACCCAAGCATTGCACCAAGGCCCACCCTCATTCAATTAGCATGAAAATACCATATATAAATGGATCGGACAAATAAGAATAGGAAAAACACTACCTTAAATGATTATTATTATTATTATTATTATTATTATTATTATTATTATTATTATTATTATATGATCAACCCATTTAACCCCAAGAATCGAACTGCTGATCCATTCGACCATGATTTTTAAAATCAGACTGGACCAGACGGTCGGACCAAAAAAACCATCACCTGCTTGGTAACGTTTTTCCCCCAAACCGCTTTTTCTCCAAAACTATTAATTTTAATCAAGAAACCGCTGAACCGGCCAATTAACCATTCAAACCATTCGAATGGTTTTGACTGTTTTTCAACTTTTTAACATTTTTTTTTATCGGACGGGCCAACTGTTCGGACTATTCAAACTGGTAACCGGACCCTGACCGATTCAGTCACCGGGTCGGTTTTAAAAACCATGCATTCGACTCGCTATTCCATTTTGTTGCCCCATGAAAAAAAAAAAAAGAATATACAAATAACAAGTGTAATATTTTATGAAACAAAGCTCAGACCCTAGCTAACCCTCCCATTACTTGGGGTTGGGGTTGGAGGTAATTAATTGGTTGGAGTTGACCCGGCCCAAATTTAAACCCTTTCCCCCTTTGAGTTGTGGTATCAAATTAATTAAATAATTCATGGATGCACAGCAGTTGTGCGTGCATCCATCATCCATCTCAGCTCATGCACACATTGTCATTGCACTCGAATAAACAAAATCAACAGAGCAGAGGGTCTTCATCTCCTTCTTCCAACTGCAACCTCTCAAATCGCTTTTATTTGTGTTGTTTCTTATCAAAACAACGAATTTTCTGTGCCTGAGAATCAATCAAAGAGCTGCGCATATATATATAATCAGGGAGATGGAGATGGAGTAGTCAATTGCAACAGCCGGTTCTTCCTAACAATTCCAGCTCTGAACCGTGCAAGTGGGGGAGAGAAGGTGTGTCGTGTCCAGCGTCGTCGGACTCGCTGATGATTCCCATCTGGCCCTCTTTGAGCTCCTCCTTGAGGCTGCAGCTCCATCTAACAACCACACACCACCAGCACTCTCCATCTTCAACTCCAGCCCTTGTGACATTTCCACTAACATCTCCTGTAGTTCCTCCAAGCTGTATTTCTTCTCCTGCATCCACCCATTTATGATATATGCACCCAAAGAATACGTTAGTCCTCCAATCCTGCTTTCTATCTCTAACATGAGCCGGGGAGACACACACATCTCACATCTGCCAAACACTTACAGGAGATGGTGGCTTTTCATGAAACTTCGAGACTCTGACAAGATATTTTAGAGAGAGAGAGAGAGAGAGTACACGCGCATACGAATAGCCATTTGGATTCTAATCCTCCAAAGAGAAAATATCTTCGGCGCGCGAGTGGGTTCTAGAAATTGTAGCACCCACAAATCCAAAATCTATGAGATGATCAAACGGTCAATTTTGTCTTTCATGAAATGGTGGGACCAGAACTACAGTAGAAACGAAATTAAAACATGAACAGCAGGGCAAATGGGCAAGGGCAATAATACCTGTTTCTTCACATCGTTCATGAGAGATATCATCTCCTGCATGAAATCTGCGAAGCCCTGGAAGCAAGCACAAGAAGATCAATTCGTTACAAACCTCAAACCATTTCTATGATCCCACCACTATATCAAATATGAAATACCCACCTCGTCATTCGTTTCATCGTCCGGGTCATACAGACCGACATCATACAGTGTTCTCTTCCCCTGATCCGATAACACTGCACTCTCGTGAACAGGGTACCCAGCAGCTCAGTCAATAGAAGGGCAGAAAACAAAACCAAGAGCAGCAGAAGAGAGGGAAGAATTTTCCAAGGATAATTTAGATCAAGGAAAACTGAAAACGAGTAACCCACCCGAATAAGCCTCCTGGATTTGCTGGAATTTACTCTTGGCTTTCTCTAAGAGCGACGGAGTTTTCGTCCATTTGTCTGGATGCCATTGCTGCAAACACACACACAACTCTCTGTCAATATTGCATTTGAGAGAGAGAGAGAGAGAGAGAGAGAGAGTACCATCGCGAGCTTCCTGTAAGCATTGCGTATCTCGGAAGCGGAGGAATTCTGATCTACACCAAGGATGGTGTAGTAAGATGGAGATGATCGATGGGAGTCCACCTCCATGACTCACAATTACAAGCGGTCCAACCCAATGAACGAAACGAGATCATAAAGAGAAGGCTAAGGAATTGATTCGGTAGTGACCCAGGACATATATCAAGGAAGATCTTTATCAACGACAACGAAATACGAAAAGGATGTCAAGTTGTGAACAGGGTTGGGATATATAAAGGAAAGTTGATCATGGGCCGTTGGCTATGCGCCTATGTCTATCTGAATTGGTAAAATGGTATCCCGCGGGAAAAAATATCTGGACCTTCCTGAACATTCCTGAACGTTTCAACACACGTGGCGGTATGCGTGGCAGATTCTGGCGGTAGATGTTTTTCATGGATGATTCCGGCTTCTGCCTATATACTTTTCTGTTTGAGTTGCACGTGCCACCTTGTGTGAGCAGATCATACAATTTTCGGAAAAATACGGACAAGTTCAATGCAGATTTTGATTTCTTATAAACATTGAAAACATCAACAATCCACGCTGAATACACCAACGCCGGCTCGTGAATTGCCATTAATTTCGAACTGAAGCCTATCCAACAGTACTTTAAGTTTTATAAATTCTGATTATTGGCTGAACCGTCATTCTCCTAACAATTTTTAACTACACAGTTTTGGTAAAAGTTATGTGTTTAACGGACTGATTCATCTTAGCGTCAATTATTTATAATTGGGTAAATTGATGAAATCTTTCTTGAACCTTCTGAACGTTTTTTAAACCGGTTCTCAAGTTTGGTAATTGCAAATTTGCACTCACCTCCTCTTAATTTCTGACCAGTTATAAGTAAGTAATACCCATTGTTATTGATGATAAGTTGTTGGCGGACAGCTTAAACGTCGGATTAGGTAACTCGCTTGGTTGAGCTATAAATAATATAAATAATAGGAGAAAATATTAGAGTATTCGGGGTGTTTTATTTGGTGTGGGTACTCACATTCCTTTATATAGGCATCGGTTGGCATGAGTTTCATGCACGACATCCAAGATCTTTGGAAGGACATGATTTATTGGTCTGAAGTCCTCAGAGGTAGTTTTGCATGTAGAATAGGTTTTTGTGTCTTATCTAGTTTCCTCCAAAACGATTAGTGTGGGAGTTGACTTCTGGAGGACTCAGGAGTGATTAGACGCATGCAAAGGAGGTCGACGAATACGTCTCATAGGCCACCACCTGGACCTCAATTAAGTTGGTAAGTCCTTCGGGGGAGGTCGCTCCTCACGCTGAGGTCCCTTGGACCGGTATTGACAAGGTGCCACAATCAATCTTGGGCAAGGTGTTGTTAACCACTCTTCTAACGTGCCTAAACAGTATATGAGGTGCTTGGACTGGTTCCATGGTGTGCCTTTTTGACTTAGTGAGATCCGCAATTGTTCGTGTGGCGTTGAGGTGTCAAGCAACAGTCTTATTATGTCACGTGTCACGATGTCATTGAAGTTATAAAGTTAGAATTTCATAAATAGAGACTCAAAAATGTTCAAAATAACCATGCAATTACTATTGAGGTTGGTCCCTATAGAAAAATAATAACAATAAATAAAAAATTTAAAATTATAACGAGTGATTGATATGAAAGGTAAATTTAGAAAATAAATCAACTTCATAAAAAATATTAAAAGGGTTTGAAGTAGTGATTCATATGAAAAGAAATGTTGAAAAACAAACACTTTTATTAAAAATAACTGTATGAGTATTTTAGACATTTTAATGCCTCCTTTTAGAAGATTCTACTAAAGGGGATATTCTTGTAATTATATTAAAAAGTTTAAGAAAGTAATAATAATTACAAAATTTTAGGGAGATTTTTTATAATTATCAAATCATAAATTGATATCTCCGGACTCAAAAAAAATACAAATCAACCTTTAGGTTTTAATTGAGACATGTGTGACTGTAATTCATGACAGGTAGAGAGTGGATAGGAAAAGTGAATAATTCGTCTATAAAAATATCGGTGAAATAATATGAAGCCCGATACTGCAGCAGTAGTGTAAACACTGTGAACTGTTCATGGGCCTTGCCCGAAGTCAGCCTGTGAACAGGCCCAATGGGAACTGAAATTCATTGGGAACAATGCTAGCAATCCAAGTAGAGGTGAATCTTATAAAAGCAAAAATTATGCAAATACCCTTAGAACACATTGCACATGTGTGTTAATTGAAAGAGAGGTATTCTCCATGTGCGGTTGGATGAACCAATCTTGCATTCAGTAAATCCGGTCTCATCTAACTGTTTGGAGAATGACTAGTGAGTGGTGGTATTGCGTTAACCATTTCAACCTAACAAACAGAAAGCTGTGAATTGTTTGCAATGATTTGGGAGAGGTTTATGGTAGAATAATTCCTAGTTCAAAATCCCTAGTGTCTTTCTGCCAAGCCTTAATGAGTCCAAATGAGGCCCAACAAATTCACAATCCCTACATATTATGCTGTCACTGGGTTGAGTGGCTCTATATGTAATTTGGGGTTTAATTTGCCAGGTGTCACCTGATCAATGCCTGAGAATCAACGTTAATTAGAGAAAATTGGTGGGTTGAGTGGCTCTACATGTGATCATACACAGTCCCTCAGGCTCAGTTTTCATCATTCTCTTGACTCCTTTTCTTCCTTGCCAAACAATCCATAGACCAAGGACTACGAATTTTCAGCCCAAACCAGTTTCTTGGCCAACAACAACAAATCCTTACAAAATTCAAACCCCAATTAGAGTTCCGTAATCGGAACGGATGAGAAAATCCTAATTTCCTTCCAACGATGGATTCGAATCATTTCTAGTTACCCACCCCATCTGTAATGATTCAAATCTAATGGACATCTCTTTTACCAAAAAAAAAAAATCTAATGGATATGAGGAGCAGTCTCACATGATTACGATGTCAATTGAAATATGAAATACTTCCTCCGAGGGCTTTTATATATCCCCAACCTCAACCATCAGCTCCAACAACAGCGAACGAAGTCGTTAAAAATCATGTCTTCCGGTTCATCCAAGACATCCTTCTTCTTATTCGTCTTCATAATTGCAGCAGCCTGCTCTGTCCACGCCGGAAAACGACATATCATCAATTTCCGATCGCCGAATCTCTTCCCTGAAGGTGTCGCATGGGATCCAGCCGCCCAACACTTCGTTGTCGGCTCCATGCATCACCGCTCCATCATCGCCGTCTCCGACGCCGGCGTCGTTGAATCCCTAATCTCAGACCCCGAGCTTCCCCCTAACGTCACAATCCTTGGCCTAACTGTAGACTCTGTCAACCGCCGTCTTCTCGCCGTTATCAACGCCATGGAACCTCTCCCCAACTACAACGCTCTTGCTGCCTACGACCTCCGCTCCCGCAAACGTATCTTTCTCGCACCCCTAACTGACCCTGCCTCCTCCGACCGCCAGATCGCTAACGACGTCGCCGTCGATTATAAGGGCAACGCGTACATCACTAACGCTGCTGGAAACTTCATCTGGAAGGTCAGCGTAAACGGAGAACCGTCCATCTTCTCCAGATCCCCTCTTTTCACTTCTCAATACGTGGACCCCGATCAGCCCTACAGCTTCTGCGGCCTCAGTGGAATTGCTTACCTCAGCAAGGGTTATCTACTAGTAGTCCAGAGCAACACCGGAAAGATGTTCAAGGTGAACGCAAACGACGGGACAGCAAGGCTGGTGCTGCTGAGAAAGGACTTGACGTTGGCGGACGATATCGCCGTTAGAAGTGACGGCGTTGCGGTGGTGGTTTCACAGCATAAAGCATGGTTACTCAAGAGCGACGACAGCTGGGGTGAAGCTGGGGTTTATGACGAAATCGTCCTTGATACGGAGAGGTTCCCGACTTCGGTTGCAATTAGGGAGGGAGATAGGGCGTATGTGTTATATGGGCATGTAGACAAGGGCATTTCGGGGAAAGAGGAAAGGGAGAAATTCGGTATTGAAGAGCTGGAGTCGGCCAAGGAAAGTGAAGAGGAGGCGGTGTGGGTGTTTGTTTGATTGGGCTGGGCTTGGCTTATTTCATGTACTGGAGATTTCAGATGGGCCAACTTATTAAGAACATGAACAAGAAAACGAATTAAGGCTGCTAATGCTGATTGCTGAGCCCACAGCAAGCCACAGATTCGGATTTGTGGGCATATACAACTGCCCATCCTTGGGAGTTGGGACGGGCTTAGCTTTGCTCGATGAAAAGAGGATGGGGGATAGGTATGCGTAGGTCCTCTCATCAGGCCCATCCGATGTGAGAAAGGTCAGAGGGTCCCACTCCCACTTCGGCGATGTGCATCGTATGCTGTATGATTGCCGTGATGAAGATTAAAATGCTGTCGCTATCACGCTGCTATGGCTTGAATAGTGATGATGATTTCTAACTTATTAAGGGGGTGTTTTGCCAATATTGATGATTTTGTTTTTCAAAACACAGAAAACAATAAGAATAAATTGCCGCATCAGCGGGATTCTCTCATGTCTCCTTTCACTTGGGAATTAGGATTCACTCACTCCATAGTTTCCCTAACAGTCAGTTGTGAAAGCCAATTGCATGAAGGATGGATTCCTGCCTGGCAAACAATGGTAGTGTGTGGCTTTAATTCAAAAAACAGATGCACAGAAAGTGAGAAAATCCGAAGATTCCTGAGCTAAGCTCTGCCTAGACCTTTCAAATCCTCCTGCTATTTATAAGATAATTGCCAAGCAACATGAACAAAAACTGCCAAGAAGAATTCAGCAAGTTATGGTTGGAGCATGCACAACTCTGATCAACCAGAACAGCTCAATCATATTTTATTCTTTTGCCCCTTTATGTTCTTCTACAGCCCTTTAAAAAAAGGGCACCTCAGTACACGAGGCCGATGCAGGTCTGGCCTCTGGGGAGGTATAGATGTACACAGACTAGCTGAGCCAGAAAAATAGGTCCAGCTGATACCAAACAAAACCTGGAATACAGGTTGAAGCCAGGCATCACATCATCAATTAAATTAAGGCTATATTTGGTTTGAAGGAAAATGTAGGGAAAGCTATACAAGGTTTGCAAAGGTTTCCTTTTCTTTTCCTACTACTTTTTCCTTCAAACCAAACACAGTCTAAAAGTCTGCAGATCCAGATAGAAGATTGATAGCTAGCTAGAGTGCTAGGAACTGGCTTACAAGGATGGCAATGGCATGTCCCTATTACAGTGACATTTCAGGATCCATGTTCATAAGAGCTTGGCAAATGTTTTTGAGCCAGCTGCTAATCTAATCCTCCTCCTTTTCGACAAGATCATACTGGCAGAGAAAAAACCAGATGAACATAATGGAATAGTATTTTAATGTAGCCAACCATATATTGAGAGTTGGTACAAAGCTTTAATGATGTCTCTATTATAATGCATGAAAAAGGTTGTGAGGAAGAATGTAAAGTAAAAGGTGAGTATTCACCGTTGTTCTCAGAGAAGATGGCATCGATGCTTCAAGGTAGAAACTCTTTTGTAAAGCTATTTGGAGAGGTGAAGAGATCAAATCATGCAACCAGATGCTCCTGAAAACGAGAGGAACACTGGCCATTGGCAAGAGAAAAAATCAGACGAAATAGCTTCAGGGAAGGAGGTGGGGAAGGTGTAGCTCAGTTAATTAGCGCTCAAGACAAAGTATAGTGTCCAAGACACATCTGTACTTTAAGTCGTAACAAAAAATGATGTAAATTCCAGATACAGCTACTAAATACATATGTAGGGCGTTTGCATTGTTTGTTACTTCAGAATGGTTACTTCCACCAGAGGTGCTTTTGGACTGTCTTGGGGTTTTGGTGGCAGAGCTGTTCTCTTCAGTGGTGGTGGAGATTGTGCTCTCACTCTGTCCATTGAGCCTTTTGACTTTAATTAATGATCTAGCCTTCTCTTTTCGTTGTTGTAGCTCCACGAATCACTGTTGTCTCCCTTTAGCACTTAATTAGCACCTCTAGTCCCCTTCAAGGACCAAGCGTCCGATATTTAATTCTCTTGTTCTTTGGATTCTTTCCAGAACTGTTAAAATTTTAAGGAGCCTTAAGAGAGTCACCCTCTCCAATTGGGCCTAAGAATATAGTAGTAATAATCACAATCTCGTTCCTGAACACGCCCCCAATCCCAGAAGGCCCTGAATTCCTTAAATTACTACCACCAAAATTCAGTTTTATGAATCTAGAAGGGAGGGGGGTGGGGACCAAGAGGGCCTAGATTTCCTCTTACATTAGGCAGGGGTAGTTATTTTTTTCCACTTTCTCAATAAGTCTGCCATGGAAAATTCTGAGAATAGCTTCATAAATTTCAGCCAGAGAACTACTCTTAAAAGTGTATTAGTTCTAGTAAAATTTTCATGCTTTTTTCCTTGTCAGAAAAGATTCATAGGATTCTCTCTTCCCATATAGACCAGCTAACACACTGCCGCCTTAATGCTTCTCTACATAACCTTCCTTCTTTTCTTTGGCCATCTAAAGAAGGAAGGAATTGCTGCAGGTGAAGATTGCATATACCACCAAAGAAAAGCTTCAATATATATAGAGACATAGATACATTTAACATTCTTAGAGAAATAGGAGCATAAAGTTTGTGCTCAGAAACTTTACAATGGCATCGCTGTGTCATGAATTTGAAATCTGGAGTCGCAAACCAAAATGATTGCAGCTGATTTATAATATTACTGTCCCTGCATTGGAGAATAAAATTACTAAATATAGGTATTTCAACAAGACTGTGTGAAATTGAAGACCCTAATTTTAAATTCAGTGGTTACCACTTAATCCACCCCCTACATTATAAATAATGTATCCAATATCTAATCAGTATCATGATCATAGTTAGCCATCGGACTTATTTCTTATCTACGGACCTTTTTTGCTCAAGGCACTCTGTTAGGTGGGAATGTGGGATCCATCTGTAGCTACCTAATCTCTAAGAATTAAACACGTGGCAAATAATGGCCATGTAATTATGTCTTATATGGGCCCCAAGATACTCGTAATTGAAAATACAAAAATTACAACGGACCAAGGAAAGATATTGGTTGCTGAAATACAAGAAGAGTGGATTTAGGTCCATATAACAGTGTAATTTGATATCATCCTAAGTCATCTGGCAAAGTTAGAATTAGTTGGAAAGGAATCAGAAGATGGGATTGCTACTTGGCGGGTACTTGACAGCCTCTTTTTCTGGATAAAGCAATGATTGGTACTTGGCATGATTTGAGCGGACGCTACCAATGGTACATGGTCCATATCCATACATCATCTAAATCTAAATATATGACAAGTGGTGACAAGTGACAAGTTAACTGCATCAGACTGCTGGTAGTCTACACTCTACAGAATTTATTATACAATTTGAGAGGCAGTGGACTGAAGAGTGGAGATCTCAAGAGGATTAAACCTAACTGACTCGGGAGTTAAATCAGGTTGGTACTACTACTACTACTACCACCCGGCCCAAACATGGGACACTAGGCTTCCAACTACAGTGGTTTCAGGTATGATCATATAAGATAGATTAATTACATGCACTCAAGTATGTGCAAAAGCAGGGTCTTCGCTTAGAAGCCTCACCAATTTATTTCTTCAAACCCAAAACAAAGCAAAGGTATGAGAGCCAAGAATCAACCAGTATATATCTCTATGTCTAAAGCATTAATTAACTGCAATTTATTTAATACCAATTATATACCTAGCTAATATAAATGAATTTTTTTTACCAATTAGAGTATATATATGAACCAATCTTGTGTTTATTGATTTGAATCTTTCTTCCCTTCTAAGCCCTTTCTTTCTTCACAGTTCACACTTAGCAGCGGCTAATAATTGTAACCAGTGGGGTCGAATCAAGCCGGTAAAGTGTCAACACCAAGACAATGTTGTACGGCTAAATGAGGCTCCCTGACCGGAGATCGACCATCGGTGACTCTGGGGAAGATTCATTCAGCCTTCAAGTTCAAACTTCTTAAGCTAATAATACCTGAACTCTGAAAAGACCCAAGTGAGTCAGCATGCATGACTGGTCTAGCACTGTCCCTAAGAAAAATAAGACCTCTCCCATTCCTGTTATAAAGGGAAGTAGTGCTCGTTCAATTTTGCTCCAGACAATTAATGGTGGGTGTTCCGTAATTCATCATAGTAAGGCAGGACAATTGGCGTATCTCTCCTTTTCTCAATCCTGGATTTCTGGTTTCTTCTTAGATCTCTCGTCTCCTTTTCAACTCGATCGGTTTCCTTGTGTATATATATATATATATATATATATCCATGAAAATGGCAACGCCTCTTCTTCTAGACCTATCCATGCAGAAGTCTCCATTGTTGCCAGCAACAGCAACCTTCCTCTTCATCCTGGTGGCAGTCTTCTCGGCGATTTCCCTGTTAACATTTCTATGTGCCTCCCGCGGGAAGTCAAGATCGAGGAGAGAAGAAAGAGAGATCACTGTGTCTTCTAGTTCTAGCAGCAGTAAGAAGTTTGTATCGAATTTAAGCAACAATTTTACTGGTAAAGCTTTATCGATGACGAAGATCATTTCTTGGAGGAGAAAAGTAGAGAACGATGATGAGGATGATGGTAGTGATGAGGTGGCTATTTGGAAGAAGACAATCATGATTGGGGGACGTTGTCGTCCACTGGAGTTTTCTGGAAAAATTCTCTATGATTCTGAAGGAAATCTTCTGCCTGAATTACCACGTAAAAATAACAGCAATAATACTAAAACGTCTTTAGGAGAAAATCCTGATATCTTCTGTCAAGCTTGACGACTGATTTTTGTGGGTTGGCTATATCTCTATAAATTGGATTTATTTCTTCTTAAAATCTGATATAATTTGAGTGAGGTTTTTGGAAATATGAGATGATGTTAGTGATATTAGCTAGAAGGTTTTGGAAATGCTAAATTTAGCGTTTAATTTTTAACTAAATTCTCTAATAATCCAATGATTTCAGTTTTAAAGGTAAGTGATCGATGTTGCTTTTGGTTCAATTTAGGGTACAAATTGTTTTCTATGCAAATCGAATCTTGTGTTTTATTTATTGCAGTTTTCAGTTTAATTAATATCTAAAATAAGAAAAATCTAAACTGTTGTTACTATTAAGGGTTCGTCATTCTCTTCCAACCTGATGAAGAAGGGTAGAATGAACTTAGGCTTTGTTGGAATATTGACTACTGAGGTAGGAGTACTCCTATTAATTTCCTTGGAGTCTTAACCCAGTTATATACGTAGGTTCATGAACTTCCAAATAACAAGATGATGGTTTTGACAAATTAGATATGTGAAATGCAGCAAAGATGATGATCATGACGTTGATATATATATAACAATATTGCATGGTGATGCAGATGGTGAATTAACGAATTTCTACAAGATGATGCTATATATTTTGTAGTTCATATATATAGTTCTAAACAATGTAAACAATTTGCAATAACAACTTGCGCAACTTTGAATAATTAATTCTAGATGGAAAATGAACAAAAGTGC